AGCGTTTAAAGGTATGGTCAAAGAATTTGAACCTGATTTAACGACAGATAGGTGAATTGATGTGTATGTATAGTCCCGAGCCAAGCATGTTACTATTGCAGTCTTTGTGAATCAAAGGATAGTACCCATCAACACTGTGATCAAAAGAAGGAATAGCAGAATTTAAATAGGTCTCACTAAGAGCAAGCAAATCTGGTAAGTTTCGAAAGAGGTAAGATTCAACTGATAGAAGGTTGATTTGCAGACCACAAATATTAGTAAAAGACTTATTTAAAAAGTTAGGTGGTGGGGATAGATCTCTAGCCTTTACTCAACCAAAAGCCCCAAGCCAGGGGGAGTTTATCTGGATGCAGCTAACATCTGCCCAAGACGAGTAGTTTTATCAAGACACCATCTCTAGTCTTTACTCAACCAAGAGCCCCAAGGCAGGGGATTTTTAAGTCGGATTTAGTTTTTCCTAGTTTTTGCGTAAAAAAGCACACTTTACAAGTAGCAGGGCATGGGACAGGTAGTACTGGGTTACATAATATCAGTAGTAGGGTCATAGTGATGATCATGAACCTGACCTGGAGTAGCTACTTCCTGAAAAAAAGTAAAAGTAGCTACTTCCTGTAAACAGTAAATTAAAACATTAAACATGATATTTTGGAAATGCATTAGGAAAAAAATTACATCTAACAAATACTAGGGTGAGCAAAGGTTTTTTAATTGGAGTGTCTGGTTAGTTAATGAGCTCACTCTGCGTCAAGACAGATTTAAACATTTAAACAGGACATTCAAACATTTAAACAAAACACGTACATACATAAAGTAACTTACGAGTGAGTAAAAACCGCGCCAGAGGTTCAGACAAAACACAAAAATACATAAATAGAGTAACGTACGGGTTAACAAACACCGCACCAGAGTTTAAGACAGAACACAAACATATAAATAAACATAAACAGATAGAACACAAACATACAGATAGCAACTTACCGGTGAGTCAACACCGCGTCAGAGGTTCAGACAGAACACAAACATACAGATAGCAATTTACAAGTTAACACCACGCCCGAGGTTTAAACCGAACACAAACATACATATATAGTAGATTACAGGTAAGCTAAAACAGTAACTAAGTCACCTCCATTTATATAAAAGACACACAAAATAATAATAAATATATATGGGTATATTACTTTAATTATGACCTATTTTAAATAGTACTGATGACAGGAAGCAAACTCCATCCAGCCTATGATTAGAAAGCAAATCCTATTAGGCAGAAAGACATAAAACAGGTTGCACTAGGTTACATGTTACCAGTAGCAGGATGATCATGAAGAACATACACCTGACCTGATACAAGTTAACTAAAGCTAACTAAAGTGAATTAATTTGTTAAGAAAAAAATCAAAATCATTGAAAAGATTTTGAAAAATTAGAATATATATAATCATAGAATATAGGTGTTTGCAAAAAAACACTACATAAATCTTTTTTTAATATAAACTTATTTTTTTCAACTTTGTCGTATGGGCAGATTTGGCGCTTAACCATCCATATGTACCGATTTGTAATTTTTTTTTTTTCATATTCTTTCTTTTTTGCAAACTCTATAATTTTTTTCAAACTTTAAAATTTTTTTTTCAAACTTTTTAGTTTAACTCTTTGGTATAATAAACTTGTAAAATCATATTTTTCTCTATTTCACAATGGGGCTTGATGATAAGACATTTTGTCTTCTACTTGCCCCAATCAGATTGTAATAATATATATTTATTTGATCTTTAGGATAAAATTGAAAAATGTGTGCACATTGACGAAATAAAACTAAATATAAAAAAAAAAAAAAAAAAAAATAGCGGTTTTAATTTTGAAAATCGGCTTTAAAAGTTATACAAAGATACTTTTTGAGTTTAACGCCATTTCCGCCCATTTTTCAATAAAAAATTCTTAGTCGACCGAAAATTTGGCCATTAAAAAAAATATTTATTTTATATTAAAATTTAATTGCATCTTATTTAGAAAGATTTTCCACAACATGATCAAAAAATATTTGCAAAATCTTCATTCAATAAATAAGTAGAAGCAAAAGTATAAACATTGTCATAACTATTCCATTCTATCCTCTATTTCATTTGACCCTTCTAGCAATAGCAACAGCAACAACAACAACAACAACATCAACAACAACAACAACAACAACAACAACAACAACAACATCAACAATAACAACAACAACGAAATGTGAAAAAAGTGTGATTTTTGATAATGATTATTGTCAAGATTTTTTTAATTTTTTTTTTATAAATAAGAACCGCATAGATACACTGGAGGCACAACCACATACACTTAGCAATCTCGAAAACTATGCCGATTGGAAAAAATAGCTATACTTACTAGCTCACCATATAAAGCTGATCTAGAAAAGCACATGGCTCTAAAAACTAAAAAAAAATGCTCAAACAGTTGATAAGACTTTAAAAACAAAGAATGTTTCACCTACGAAAATTTTAAGTATTTCGAATTGGAAAACTCAGACTGTAGACACAAAGAAAACCTGCCGAGCATGCAAGCTTGCAATAAAATTAGCAGATAGAAAGAGCTGTGACAATTGTAAAGAAAATGGACCACGCAATGTGTACATTTGAAAGGAAGTTCACGCCACCTTTTTTTTCTAAATTTTATTTAGGTGCCCTAAGAAATCCTTACCACTGCGCCACGACTGCTCATCCTTCGTTACCGATGTTATTAAGTTTGCCAAGAGGTAGTATTAAACCACGGATCTCTAGCTTTTGAGGCAAGAGCTCTAACAACTGCGCCACGGCTGCTTTGAATTATCATCTACAGTATTTTTTTCGTTCCCGAAAAATGAAGAGCTAAAAAATTGTAAACTTTTTTATAAATCAAATTTGAAAATTGAAAAGGTAGGACACCCACTAGAAATACCCAAACGATAGGCACCCACTAATTCTTCAGTAATATGCATCAAGCATTTTGAAAAAATATATGACAAAAAAAGGTAATACGAATCAACGTTCTTGATAAATAAAAAAATAAAGCCAATTCCAACTATTTTTAATTGCGCACACTTAATTGAAGGTTTATTACGAACTGTAAAATCACTTTTATGATTTGTGAATAGTATAATTATTAAAACACCTTTGTGACTCTTTTCAGATTTTTCTTTGCCCTGTTCATGAGAAATCAATATTTTTCTTAATAAAAAAAGAATTATCTCTTCCAGCAAAATAGCTGTAGATCATGTAAAATCTTTTTAAAATAAAATTTTCGGGAAAACTTAAATAATCTATAAAATAATAATTTTGCTTGATAAAAGAAAAAGATTTAAGTACATCTGTTTATGTTTCTTAAATTTTGTTTTTCTACTTAAATTCTAAAATTTAAAATAAAAAATAGTTTTGATATGCTTTTATTTTTTTTCTTATATAATTATTATTTTTATATTTGTTCAACACCTATTATATAATACAATTGAGGTAAATAAAGTTAAATTAGAAATAAACTGAATATAATCTTGGAATATTTTTATACAAGAATATCATTGAAGACTGTGCTTTGAGGTTCAGCACTCAATTGCACATTTTAAAACATTAAAATCCTATTTAGGAATTATATTTTTTAAGAAAAAAATTTTAATTTCTCTTTATTGCTTTGCATTATTTTGGCTAGATTTAATTCAGGACCATTTCACAAAACTTTGTCACTATCTTAAAAAAGGTGTAGAGCTGTTTGGTTTTTCATCTCTGACTTAAAAATATCAAATGTTATTTTATTTTTCAACAAACAAATAAATAAGTTCAGCTTGTTTTGCTGTTTGAATGTTGATATATCTTGGATAGAAAATATAATTTTTATTGTTTTGAAACATTTAGGATTGCCTTTAATGCGTTTCTTCAAACTAGATAAGGCTTTTTTTTATTACTTCTTTATATTCACAAAGCTCAAGACCATACCTTAGGGTTGGAACAGCCAAAGCTTTATATAATTGGACAGTAGAGCTTGGATGAGCAAAACGAATTTTAGATTGAAAAAGAGTTTGAATTACTGGTTTTAAATTTGATATCCGGTAATCAATGTTTAAACAATTAAGTGAAGCAAATAGTGAACTATAAGTAAATGATATAAAGCTTCTCAAATAGAATGTCCAAGTTGCATTTATCAAACGCTTTTTCAGTATCTGGGAAAAAGAGATAGGCGAGTTGCTGTGGTTGTAGTATTTGATTGTTTTACTTATCTAAGATTGAGCTATTTGAGTAAAAACTGAAGAAGATAAGCTTTTTTTTGTTGTTGAACAGAATAATAAAATTAGAAAATTAAACTAATTTCGTAAGTATTGAAATGATGCCAATTCCACGGAATTATTTAAATCAAATATTGACTTTTTAAACGATCTAACGAATGGTATAATAACCGATGTAGAACATTAATTTTTAGTTCTGTCCATGATTAATAGAAAAGTTAAAGAATCAGATTAATTCTGTTAGTGCTTCACAACTCGCATTCTTTAAATGTTCTGCTGAGATTCCGAAGACGTCCTTGAAGTTGTTTAAATTTAGGAGAGAAGAAACCGTTTTTTATTTTCATCTGATATTTTTATTTCTAATGTTCGTTTAATATCTAAATTTGTGAATATTTATTACTTTTATAAACTTTTTAAATTTATAAAGAAAACCAATTCTGCAAATAATCAATAAGTCAAAAGTTTTAAAGACATTACGATTTTGAAAACTCGCCTTCTATTTTTTTTTTCAAATGCAAAATATCCGGCCGTATAAATAAAGTAGGCCATGAAAGTCGTTTTTAAAATTTACTTATTTGTTTATATTTAATAAAAAAGTCATCTTAGAAAGATATTTTAAATAAAAAAGACCTAAAAAAACTCAGACGCAATACGAATTAAATACGTTTTACGTACATTTCTTATGGCTAGTTTATTAAAACAAAAGGGTATAACTTAAAATCATGTACCTAAACGTAAGAAAATTCCAACGAAAGAGAAATACCATATATAATTGATTTTAAATACCTATATAAGCAAATCCATGCATGTGTCTAAAGTGCTTTAAATGTGTAAAGTGTTCGCACTGAAAACCGACTCCTTTTACCAATTACTATTGCACACTAATAACATTAAAAAACTATGCTAAAACTCATTCTCGCTGTCGTCTTTTCTTGAAGTGTTGAGCTCATTAAAACGTGCAAGAACAGTTTCAAGAGACTTCTCACCGTGCACTTTGTTATCTCTTGTTCGAACGTTAACAGTGTTCGAAGTCATCTCTTTATCACCAACAACTAAATAAAAAATTATTGACACTAATAATAGGATACAAATTGCAATATAATAGTATAACAATTTATAAAATTATGCAATAAATTGCAAAATGTTAGAAAAGACATAAATGTAAAATCAAATAAACGGAACAAATACTATCAATACTAAACAATTTTTTATTAAATATATTCTAAAATGTTTCATTATTTAGCAAAAACAAACCTAATATAAAATTGTAGTGCATTAGCTGAGCATTTCTAATCTTTTTATTTAAAATTTCGCCAGCATTTAAGTTGACGTCGACTCGGAAATCTTGCAGAAAACGATGAACCTGTAAATTAAATATAAAAATTTCTTTTTTGAACAGCGAACCAAAAGGCTTTTTAATTTTTTTATTTCTTCGACCATTAGCAGAACAAAATAATTTCTTAGAAATGTTTAAATTTTTATTGACTGACCTTTTGGGCGTATTCATCAAATTTGTTACTGACTGGAATCACAACTGCTTGAATAGGAGACAACCAGAACGGCCTAAAAAAAATTCAAAGTTTAAGCGATTAAATAATTCATTTTTTTAAATCAAGATTATTAGACACTAACTGCGAAATGTGAAAATGTACTATAAAACATTGAGAACAACAAAATTACCATTTTCCGCCATAATTTTCTGTTAATATAGCAATCATTCTTTCTACAGAACCCAAAATGGCACGATGAATAATAACAGGTCGCTTTTGATCATCGCCTTCGCCACTTAATAGAGAAAAAAATTTATTCTAGCAGAAAAGAACAAAAAACAAAGAATGATTTTTTTTTTTTTGGCTTTTTTTTTTTAATATTTGATATTATTTATTGGAATAACTACTCCAATAATAGTAATAAAAAAATTCCAAAAAAGAAACGTTAATAAATTATATAAAAAATAATCCAACTTTTAGTTTAAATTTACATTAATAAACTGGAATTTTCAAGAACTTTATTAAAATTCAAATACCTGATTTTTTAACTTAATAAAATACAATTTTTCGTTATTATTTTTTACTAATCGCATAACTGGATCATACTTATACTAAAAATGATTGTCTAATGATAACATTCTTTTGAATTTCTCTAATGACAATGATTCTCTTACGATAACAGTCTTATGAATTTTTTATTTGTTTTACAATAGAAAACTCAAAACACAAATCAAAATTAAATCAAGGCATCAAAAAAGAAAATTAGATTCAGCTTTGGAAAAAAAATAAAAAAAAGTGATAAAATTAATAAACCTATAAGATAAAACTAAGAATAGTACTTCTACTCTCGAGCCCTTAATACAAGGGGAGGGGGGAAAACGTTTACTAATTTTTACCTTTATATATATATATATATATATATATATATATATATATATATATATATATATATATATATATATATATATATATATATATATATATATATATATATATATATATAATAAATATAAATATATATATATATAATAGATATAAATATATATATATATATATATATATATTCAACATTTTTTGAAAATGTCTAAATGCTCTTAACCCCTATCATGTTGGTTCATATCAAACCCACATATGTTCTGCAATTATATTATATGTTCTGCATAATATTTATTTATTTTAAACCTGTTTCAAAATCAGGTAGTAATATATAAGTAATATATATCATCATTTGGTTGTATAGCTTGTCTTATTTATTTTTAAATATAGAGTAATATTTTAATGCCATATATTTCTAAATATAAATATACAATATATATACATATATGTGCATATATTTAGAGTAATATATTCTAAATATGGATTTAATAAAAAAGAGAAAACTTTACTTTTCGGAAATTTCGATTTAGATATGTTCTCAAAGTTTCTTTTAGTTCGGACCGTAGAGAAAACTTCTTTCCTTAACAATTTTTTTTTTCCCGCTTTCTTCATCGTTTTTATATCACGATTTATATCATTGTTATATAACCCACAACTAATTTTTTAACCACTCATTTGGCTTAAAATTATCTGGTTTTATTACAATATTTAGTTAGTCTTATTGCTATATTTATTAATATATTACTTATCTCCTGATTTTCATATTATTACTGTTTACAGAAACTTTCATGTCTTGAATTCATTACTCAGCTTTGTTTTATTTTTCACATGCACAATTTTCATCTTTACTATTATTCAGAGAATATTTTTAATATCATTCATTTAATGTTTACATATATGTCGCTTACATTTTTAAGGTTTTTGTGCAACGTTCTTTTTCGCTATCATATATTATTCTATTATTGTTATGATTTTGGGTTTCGCGGGTTACTCATTTTCCTACGCTTTTGATTGGTTATCATATTTCGAATGAGGTATCTATGACAGCGTTAGAGTTTATTTAAGGCTATTGTTGTTTTGTTGATTAAAAAATTTTTTCTAATGAGGTATACTACTTTCTGATAATAATACCTATTTGGTTTTATTTCTTAAAATAAATTGATTAATATTTTTATGTTTCTATTAGAATTTTAATTTATTTTGTTTTCATGTTTTCTTTTGGTGGTATGGTAAGTTTTTTATTTTAATTTTTTTTTATTTATTTTTATTTTTGTTTGTTCAGTAATTCTATACTGTTTATATCATTATCATCAAAAGAAATATTGGTGCTTTACAAATTTGGGGTTGGTTGGGTTTTGGCTATTTGTAGTGAGTCCTTTTTTACTGCAGTATGGAATATTTTAGTTATTGCAGTTAGCATATTTTTAATTTGTTGAATAGTTTTTTGTTTTACAAATTTTCGACTGGTTATGTACTTCTTGTATATTTTAGTTCATATTGGTAATTATAAAACAATTTTTTTTTATTTATTTATATATATATATATATATTTTACTATTATTTGTTTTTATTTTTATTTATTTTTTTTTTATTTTTTTTTATTTATTTTTTTTTTTTTTATTGTTATTATGGTTGAGTACTGTTTTGGTTGTATAGCTTGTCTTATTTATTTTTAAATATTCCTCTATTAATCTTTATTTTTGTCTTGACAACTGTCAAAAATGCTTTGTCTAATAAATAATTCTCCTTTATTCTAATGTACTTCATTTCTTCCCTCAGGCGTTCACTGCTCGTGTGTGACCATTCGGCGAATTTTATATGCCAAAGTTTTTAAATAAAATGATTGTCTAATGATAACATTCTTTTGAATTTCTCTAATGACAATGATTCTCTTATGATAACAGTCTTATGAATTTTTTATTTGTTTTACAATAGAAAACTCAAAACACAAATCAAAATTAAATCAAGGCATCAAAAAAGAAAATTAGATTCAGCTTTGGAAAAAAAATAAAAAAAGTGATAAAATTAATAAACCTATAAGATAAAACTAAGAATAGTACTTCTACTCTCGAGCCCTTAATACAAGGGGAGGGGGGAAAACGTTTACTAATTTTTACCTTTATATATATATATATATATATATATATATATATATATATATATATATATATATATATATATATATATATATATATATATATATATATATATATATATATATATATATATATATATATATATATATATATAATAAATATAAATATATATATATATAATAGATATAAATATAAATATATAAATATATATATATTCAACATTTTTTGAAAATGTCTAAATGCTCTTAACCCCTATCATGTTGGCTCATATCAAACCCACATATGTTCTGCAATTATATTATATGTTCTGCATAATATTTATTTATTTTAAACCTGTTTCAAAATCAAACCTTATTTATTGTACAAACCAAGAACTCAAAATACTTTACAAACAAGATGAACTTAACATTAAATAGCTGAAATTGACAATACCTAACATAAGTAAGATTAAAACGCTCTGGAAGCTGAAAATCTAACTGAATAGTTGCACATTGGTGATATCTACGAAGAGCATCCCGAATTTGAATATCAATCTGTTAAAAATAATTTTAATATAAGTAAAATATAATAAAATACTGGAACTAAAAAACTTTTGAAAAGGTTTAAAATTAAACTTTAAATTATACTATAATATAACAAGTAATTCTAGTATTAGGTATAATTCATTTATTAGATTCTTTTTGAACACAAAAAAAAAAAAAAATTAAAAAAAAAAAAATACTTATTGTGCTTTCTGGTAAATCACTTGTCACTCATATACAACTATAAATAAACTTGAAAAGTTTTTATCTACACATTATTTTTCTCCAAATTTTTTTATTTTAATAATTTAAATAACTTGATTTTAACTTTTTTTTCCAGGTGTTTTTAAAGGTGATATTTTTTTTCAGGTGTTTTTAAGATGACAATTTCCACATCCAATAGATACAAAAATCTATGTTAATTGCTTTTACAGATGGAAAAGGGTGTTTCATTTCCAAAATTATTTCAAAAAATGGTTATGTTACTTGCATAACGAAGTAAATAACGAGTAAAAATATATCTGTAAGTTTTTTAAATTTTTAAAATGTCATCTTGAGATCACCATCTTGAAAAAATAGCAACTTTTATACTTTTTTTTCAACTTTAAATTTAAACAAACCATGCTACTTGATGTATATACTTAAAGATTATCAGATAAACATTTGGCCAAATTAAAAAAAAAATTGGCTAATGTCTAGAGGTCACCACATTAAAAATATAAAACTACAAAACCTTTAATTTTTTTTAAATTCTAATGGAAATGTAATTAAAATTACATTTCCATTAGGATTTCAATCAGTCTATTTTTAGGCTTCAGTTTTTCTTAAGAATATTTATTAATAATGAAAGTATAAAATAAAAATATAATATAAAAAAATACTATAGAGTATTAATTGGTTTTGATTTCAAATAAGATAAATGTTGCTCTTCATTTTGCACACTCATGGAAATCACCAATAAGGCTTGATTCCTCTTTTGGTGCAATCATTTGTTACTTCTATTTGTTTAACATATTTTTCTACAGTTGGATAATCTTGAAAGAACATTCACTCTTGTGGATTTATATGGAGCATTTAAAATTTTGAATTTAATAACTTTTTGGTCTTTGGGTAGAATAAAGTTTCTTTGCCAATGTTCTGGTGAAGTTTGACAATTTTACATAAAATAAAGATAAACACAGCAGTCGCAATATCTGAATCCTGATTTTTTGATACCAGTTCATTGCGGGGAAAAAATTGAATTCAATAACTGCAAATACAGAAATCCTCGAGCGGAGAAATTGCATCAAATAAAAAAGAACTTAGCCATGCAGTGGATCATAAATATAGTGAAAATAAATTTATCAGATAAGATTTCTATTTTTAAAATATATAGAGAATGTGCCATAAATCTTGCATTATTAATTGCACCTGGTTTGTGAATTTAAAATATTCTGTTCACTGACAGTTATAGTCAACGTATATTGATATACATATATTTATTTTATGGAAAAATCTTAGAATCCAGAACAGATTCATATTCTTGATACACCTCAATGCAAAAAAGTCTCTATTCTAAAAATTTGGAAACATTTTACAAATAAGGTTTAAATTAAAAGTCTACAAAGGTAAGTTAATGGATCATTGACTTATAATTATATAAAAAGCACCTTGAATTAATATTATACGTTGACAAATTTTCTCATGATACAGAAATTCAGCTGTACATTTTCCGATATCAAACTGGTTACATTCTTTATGCAGCTACCTGAGAAGGGTGGCAAATCGTGTTAACTGAAAGTCTAGGTAATTTTGAATTAATTAATTCAAGATCTTCTGGCCAAAATGTTTTCTTGTCAAGGCATTCAAGTCCAATTCAAAACTGAATTTGCTTGATTAAATATTTCTAATTTGATGTCAGTAGGCCACTCAAAAAAGTAAAGCTTGAGTAATCAATATCAATTCTTAATAAGATTGGTTTTCGAATTTGAAATTTTGGTTTGGAAGTTTAAAAAAAAAAAGTTTATCTGAATGTTTCCTATCTCCTCATAATGCTATAAACACATGTTTGATGTGTAGCTTTATGATGATGTCGACATGCTAGCCAATAAAAAGTTGCTTTAATTTAATTTCGATTAATGCTGCTCTTTTTTTGTTATCCGTGTTGCTAGCTATTGTATCAAAACATATACTAACAATGTTTTTAAAAATTTTCTTTGCACAATAATTTGCGCATGTTTCACGACCGCATCATATTGAACTTTACCTGTTGAATCTTTAATTAAAAGCACATCAAAAAGCCTGCAAAAAAAGATGTTAGTTTCATTGAAAACAATAACAAGAAATATGCATAGTATATAAATAAGTACTTGTTATGAGATCTGCATATAAAAACTGCTACAAGCTCTTAATTATGAGCTATGTCTAAATAAAAAAAGCTTTGAATCCCAGTGCAAAATGGTTTTTTTTGGACATGTATATATTATTAAGTTTTCCTCTGCTTTTGCAGATAATAGTGAATTGAAATTGCTGCAGGCAAACTGATAAACAACACCAGTCTGCCACAGATGGTGTAACTTTATTGTTAACTATTATTTCGCGGGATTTGTTAAAGACATTTTACTTTTCTTTGGAGGTAAAAGAGTAAACTCCATACCTTTTTTATCTTCTTCATCGGCATTATCAACTGATTCTCTGACTTCAAAGACACTCAGGATTTGATTTTTTTGGGTGAACTATAAAAATCCATGCTCAGTCTAGCTTCTTAACATTATAAACATTTTAAAACACTAAGGTGGATGCTATCTGTCATAAAATATTTTCTTCAACTCTTTTAATCTTCATAAAATACCTAATCATCTTTCCAATTTGGTCTTCCTGATATAAATAGCATTTTGCCTCGTGATATAAACAGCATTTTGTGCTGAAATGTCGCAAAGTTGTTTAAGTTCATTACAAAATCTGAAATTTTTTTCTTTTTCAGCCTTAAGACTCTTCAATTTTTTTTAATTTTACCTTTTCTCCCAAATTTTGGTAATGAAAGGTAAGAGTTATCTGATCAAATTGATAATCCAGCTTTTTCCTAAACTTACTTAAGCTAACCAAGAACAAACTTAAAAATATCTCTCGCAGAAGTTTTTAAATAGAAACGTAAATGCAAGTATCTAGCTAACACATTTTTTTGCTGGTAGGCAATTGAAGATTGACAAGTTATCGGATTCGATGTGACTAATTAACTAATCTTGGTTATTTTTCTGAAGTTCATCATTATAATAAAATATTCCCCTCTCTAATAAACTAGTTTTAAAATTATTTTTAAAACTTCAATTTTGCTAATTGATATAACGTCCAACTTTTTTTTTATAAGCTTTTTTTTAATGAAAATTTATATACATACAAATGTTTATTTCATAATGCTAACTATTAAATTGCACAACAACTTTAAGTGGTCAGTCATGCTAAAAAATATGTTTTGCGTATAATGCCACAACTTCTTTTAAGTCATTAAGTCTATAGTAACAATTTTTTTTTATTTTTTGTCAAAAAATAAAACTTTATAATACTCTAGACATTACCAATTTCTTTTTGAAAATTTTGCTAAAAGTTCATCTGATAAACTTTATTATATACACCAAGAAACATAACATAAAATTATTTATTTTTTAAGTTATTAAAATTTAAAGTTGATGTAATTATTAAAAAAGCCATTTTTTTAAGATGGCAACCTCTAAATGACATTAATTTCTAAGAAGTTTACAAATGTGTTTTTTGCCCAATATTTACCCCATTATGCAAGTAGCGTAACTATTTTTAAAAAATTGGAAAGAATAAAACACCCTAATGGAACCTAATGGAGTTGTTAGTGCTTAGCCTTGGTCTTGCCTTAGAGTTAAAAATCAAGACCATGGCTCTGAAACTGTTGGCCTTGGTCTTAGCCTTGCCCTTCAAAAAATAATTAAATAATTTAAAGTTTTCATTCTTTAAGTAATTTAACTTTTCCTAATTCAAAAGTTACAAGGCCTCGTCCTTGGCCTTATAACTTTTGGCCTTGGCCTTGCTACTTTTAGCCTTGTTAACAACTCTGAATGGAACAAATTGCTGCATTAACCACTCAATAAATTGCTACTATAAAAGATATAATTATAGTGGTGGAATAACAATCTTTTAAAAAATTTTTTTTTAAACCATTATTAATATTAATAATACTAACTTATGAATAATAATATTTAATATGACATATTTTTTAACAATATAAATCTATGGTCAAATTTATGGATGAACAATTTTAACTTCATTATACTGTTTCTAGTAGTTGTTATGAAACATTGATTTAATTAACAACACTCAATAAGTCTTCACAAAAACTATTGGTCTAACCATGTTGAGTTGCATTACTACTTTTGTTTCTGTTAAACAATGTCAATTCTGATAGAATAAAATCAAATGAACACATTTTTATGATATTCCATGCTCTTAATGATGTTTTTAAGCCTTTTTAATAACTGAACGATCTTCATTAACGATCAATAACATTAACGATCTTCCAGATATTCTCACATCTAAGGTGGCATTGTTCGCTGATGATACTACCATTTATTCTTGTCACGATAAAAAGCCAACTCCCTCTGATTGCTTGCAGAGGGCATCTGAGCTTTAAAAGGATCTCACTTCTGCTACAGCATGGGGCTCACAGTGGCTGGTGAACTTTAATTCAGATAAAACTCAATTTTTTTCGGCCAATCGTTATTGCAATAATTTAGACCTTCCTATATTTATGAATGGTAATGTACTCGATGAGTCTCCTACCCTTCATCTTCTAGGATTAACTCTTACTTCTGATCTTTCTTGGAAACATTATATCAAATCCGTTGCAAAATTAGCATCTGCTAAAGTTGCTTCTCTTTATCGAGCTCGTCACTTTCTTACTCTGGATTCTATTCTCTATCTTAAAAACTATAAATCTCAAATCCGGTCTTGTATGAAATACTGTTGCCATATCTGGGGCGGATCTTCTAATGATGCCCTTTCTCTTTTAGACAAGGTGCAAAAACGCATTGTAAACATAGTTGGACCTGCTCTTGCAGCCAACCTTCAATCTCTGTCACATAGTCGTAATGTTGCTTCTCTTTCTCTTTTCTACAAGTACTATAATGGGCACTGCTTAAAGGAGCTAGTGCCTCTTGTGCCATCTACTAAAATTCATTCTCGTGTTACTCGTCATTCAATTAAGTCTCATCCTTTTTCTGTTACTGTTCCTAAGTGGTCCAAAAACTCTTATTCGTCTAGTTTTTTTCCTCGAACATCAGTTCTTTGGAATTCGCTTCCTTCATCTTGCTTTCCTGATTCATATAATTTGCAATCTTTTAAGTCGTCTGTCAATCATTATCTTGCTCTACAATCTTCATATTTTCTCTTCCAGTAACTTCCAACACTAATTAGTGGTTGCTTGCAGCCTTGTTGAAAGCGAAGATAATTAAAAAAAAAAAAAAAAAAACTTCTTAGTTGCAGTCGTTATTTGGTAATTTTTTATTATTGATAGTTTTGTAATTTATTAGTTTACAAGACACAAGATCAGCAGATTAAAAGAGAAAAAGGTGCTGAGTTTTAGAAATAAAATAATGATAAATTTAAAGAGGAAGTAAACATAAACAAATAATTATTATACAAAACACTATATTAAATTTTAAACCATATTAAATTTTTTTTTGAAATTAGTATATCTTGCCTCACAAATATGCATGCCATAACAAGTTTTTTGTATAACTTTTTTTTAACAATCTTATTACATATTTTATTTTCTAATATTAAAAATTAAAAAAAAACTTTCTTTTTCCAAATACTTTTTGTTTGTTTATTGCTATAAATTGGTTTTATAAGTAAACTTTATAAATAAAGGTTTGTTTTGTTGGAATTTTTATCAAGATTCCAACAAAATAAAGCTGCTTTGTAATATTTACACAAATAAAAATAAAGCTGCTTTGTAATATTTACACAAATAAAAATAAAGCTGCTTTGTAATATTTACACAAATAAAAATAAAGCTGCTTTGTAATACGTATTTATTTTGCAAATTTTTTAATCTTATATTTTTAAATACTCACAAACATTTATGTTATTTGTCTAAAAATAAATTTATTTATATTGAATTTATTTTTAAAAATTTGTATTACTTATTTTAAAAACCTAAAGTTTTCAACTTCAAGTGAGAAAAAAAAAAAGAATAAAAAGGTTCTAATAGCTAAAAATTAAATTAAAATTTAGCAATTTAAAGTAAATCAATATAATTATTATTATTTTGTAACAAAAATATTTTGTCAAATATACGTTAATAAATACTGTTATTTATTGAAAATAAATTGATTGTTGTTAATTGTTTTTAAATAATAACATGCACAAATTATTTATTAAACATTAATAAACATTAATTACCATAAAAGTTATAAAACATTATAATACTTGAATACTTAGTAGAACAACTGATAAAACATTATAAACAAATTAAGTAGAAAAACTAAAAATACAAATATATTTAAAATCAATCAATATTATTAATCACCTTCGGTCCATAAAATGCTCCATCTCCAGGATTTAACTCCCATGGATCTCCAAAATCATTTAATGAACTTTCAAGTTGCTAAAAACAAATTTAGCAGTTTATATAGCAGTTAAATAATAACAAAACATGCGAATACATATATATATATATATATATATATATATATATATATATATATATATATATATATATATATATATATATATATATATATATATATAGGGCCTGAAATAACAAACTTTTTTCTACCGGATTATTTGTCCGGTAAAAAATCAAGCTTGCCGGACATGTCCGATAAAAAATTAAAATGTGATTGAACGCCATTCCTGAACACGCCTAAAATGTTTTGTTTTTACAACTTGACCGCGCAAGATAAATTTTCTATCAAAAAGAAAATCTTAAAGATATAGAAAAATCTAAGCTCAAAAAACTAAAATTTAAAAACAAATATATATTTATATTACGTTTTTTAAGAATTAATATTGTGAAATGCTTTTTAAATTATTAAATACATAAATTATTAGGTAAATATATTAAATACATAAATTATTAGGCGGTTACTTTATTAAATATTACTTATTACTTAATTAAATAAAGTTACAAATAAATTCTAATGTTTACAATAAACACATTTTATTTAAATTATCAAAGTATAATAAAGGTATTTACATTTATATAAATATGTAATTTTTTTTATAAATCTTTTAAAACTTTTTCTAGGATTAATTTTATTAACACTTTTAATAGCGAAAACTTTTAGTATGAAAACAAACGTTAAATGTTATTATAAACAAAAAATTTAATAGTGTAATTAAAAATACTGGTTTCTATAAGCATTAAAATAACTATGACGTTAAAATTTAAAAAAAAAAATTTAAAAGGGATTTTGAAAACTAAAATATTTGTTTGAAATTTATAAAAAACTATTGGACCAAAAAAAACTAAAAGTACTTTACTATAAATTTAAATTAATAACTAATTGCAATGTTTTAATATAAATGATAAAAACTTAATTCAAAAAAATGTAATGCTTCGACGCCTTTTAAAAAATGAATTAACTCAAAAACATGTATTTTATTAACATAGCCTTGTGTTGTTTTGTATTTGTATAAAAAAGTTTGCTTGTATAGAAAATTTTGTTTTGTATAAAAAATTAAAAGTTCAAAAAATAAAGTTATATACAATACTGAATTTATTAATACTTTTGGAACAACTAAACTGATTAGAAATTAAATGCACATAAAATATATATCAGACAAAATGACCGGTTTTTTACTGGACAAGTGCTGGACATATATATATATATATATATATATATATATATATATATATATATATATATATATATATATATATATATATATATATATATATATATATATATATATATATATATATATATATATATATATATATATATATATATATATATATATATATATATATATATATATATATATATATTATATATATATATATATATATATATATATATATATATATATATATATATATATGCATATTTTTTTCCTTTTTAAATCTTGAATCTTATTATTATAATTCATTTCATATCATAAATAAAGTATAAAAAGCATATCAAATAAATATTAAATTACCTTTACTTGGTAATTTAGATTAACCTAAATGGTTTTTTAGAGAAAAAAAACAAAACAAATACGACCAAAAAAAATGTTTTCATAAACAGTAAGTGCTAACTAGTATAATTTTTGCAATCACCTACCATATCAAGGATTAAACAATGTTAAACAAAAAGTACGACTACTTTTTGATAAAATTTAAAATATTCAATATTTTTCAAACTATTTTACGCTTTTAGCAACAACAAAAAAAAAATATTAATTTTTAGCCATAAAAAAAAAACAGATAAACTTTTTTTGACTGCAAAAGATTTTCTTAAGAAAGCAATAAAAAATCATTTGTAGATAAAAACATCTCAAAACTATTAAAATAAATCTTTTAAAAAATATATTATTACTGAAATAAGTTAGTTTTGTATAAAACAATACAAAAAAAAATTTAAACAATTTACTTATTTTTTCAAAAACTACAATAGGGGCTTTTTCTCAGCAGGGAAGACATGACCCTATATATATATATACCCTATAAATATATATATATTTATTTATTATTATTATATATACATATATACCCTATTTATATATATATATATATATATATATATATATATATATATATATATATATATATATATATATATATATATATATATATATATATATATATATATATATATATATAACACACATACATACATACATACATACATACATACATACATACATACATACATACATACATATATACATATATATATATATATACATATATATATATATATATATATATATATATATATATATACATATATATATACATATATATATATATATATATATATATATATATATATATATACATATATATATACATATATATATATATATATATATATATATATATACATATATATATATATATATATATATATATATATATATATATATATATATATATATATATATATATATATAAATATAAATAAATATATATATATATATATATATATATATATATATATATATATATATATATATATATATATATATATATATATATATATATATATATATATATATATATGAAGAGTGTATTTTCAAAATGCGGTATATCCATTTTTGTGGTATTGAGATAATTGACTTTTTTTGCCACACCAACATGTCTCGTATATTCAGAAAAATTATTGTTTCTTAATGTATATATACATAAAGTATATTATATAATGTTAATAAATAAAATATTATTAAATAAAAAAATTTATTTTTTTTGTCAATAAGTTTGCATTTATTTTTAAAATACTGTATATCCAATTAAAGCTTGTTAGCAAAATGCGGTATATCCATTTTATAAAGATGTTATGGAAAGTTTTTAAACTTTAAAAGACCTGAATAAGTTTTAATGATTAATTTTAGTTAACATATTGAACAAATATGTGTATTTAATGTTTGGTCATTATATTTTATTGATAATGTGAATGTAAACAATGTTTTATTAAAGTAATGTAAACTATTACATTTCACAATTTGCAATTGTAAATTTATATTTGTTTCGGAGAGTTACATATGGACAATAAACAATAATATTTTTTTAGTGTTGTGTAGTTGTAACAATGATGATCACTATTTTTAAGTCTCCATAGAACTAATGGACAATTAATATAACATAAAAGTCGTCGTTATATTTTTGAACGAAATAAAATTTTAAAAATGAAATACTGCAATAGCCTCATTTTATTTGCAACAAAGCAATTGTCGGTTTAACAAAAAATAAAAAGGAAGTATTATTATTGAATGCTTTCCATTAAAAAACAGGTAACAAATATATTTAAACTTATTAATTTAAGTTGCCTTTTTAATATATTTTCTATCATTATTCCATAATTCGTTCAGTTAAACAAACAAAGCATGGTAGTTTAAACGAACACTAGAATTAAGAAATGCTTTTCTTTTCTTTTGTTTCATACATCATATCTTTTTTTCTATGTGAAATAGGATATTAGGTAACGCATTAATCTTGTCCATCGCAATCTGCCATTTCTTTAACGCAACTTTAAAATATTTGCGCTTGCGCAGAAGTAATATACATTTGCCACGGATTGGTCAAAATTAAATACCGCATTTTGAAAACAAATAAAAAATTTTATACCGCGTTTTGAAAATAAATGTTTTTTAGAAGTAAAAAAATATTAGGTTATACTTCGTTTAGCATATATTCGGACACAATGTCTGCTAGGTTTTTATAAACTAAAAATAAACCACACAATTTCTAAAAAATTTTTAAAATGGCGTTTACCGCGTTTTGAAAATAAACTCTTCATATATAGATAGGAAAACGAAGAATAATGAATGAAAAGGTTGCTGACCCATACCAAACCCTCAGTCGATGTAGCAGCACTCCACTGCGAGTCAGGCTATTTGTCAGTCAATGTATGTACTGAAGCCCCCGGCAGCAGGTTATTTGACGTTAGGTGAGTATGACATCATCATGCTCACCTAACTCAGCAGTATAAGATATATATTTATTATATATATATATATATATATATATATATATATATATATATATATATATATATATATATATATATATATATATATATATATATATATATATATATATATATATATATATACATATACAGGCTCGGCTCGTGGTGTGTGTGCAAAAAATGGTTGGCGCCTTTGATTTTTTTCAATAAGGTACTTTAAAGTCATATTATAAGCAAAACCCAGCCACTATTTTCTATGGTTTTATATTATTATCTTTTAAAAGTAAAGCGAAACCATTATCAATTTTTTTTTATGTTTTATAATTTGTAACTGTCAAATTATTTTAAAATAGGTTTATAGTTTATAAACTATAATATTTTGATTATAATTTTAAGGCAAATTAAATTCATTTAATTTGCCTTAAAATTATAATCACATGACAAAAAAAAAATTAAACAACCAGAGTTGTGATTAAAACTTATTTTTTTATTAATCAAAAAAAATTAACAAAACTTAAATAATCCAAGTAATAACAGGAGAAAAATGAAAATAAAATTAATTAGAAAAACATGACAAAAAAATATGTTTAAATAAAACATAAAAAAAATATTGCATAAAATATTAAACTTTACTACTAAGGGATTCGCCTGGCTTTGATTTTAGCAAAATTTTTACGCAACAGATCTAGGTTAATAGATTTGGCAATGTCCGATTCTATAGAGATTATTGCCAAACCATTCAATTTTTCTTGCCCTATAGTTGATCGCAGGTAATTTTTAATCATTTTTAATTTAGAAAAAGTTCTTTCACCTTTAGCAACAGAAACGGGCAAAGTTAATAGCACTCTTAATGCAATCAGTGCATTTGGAAAGAATTCTTCAACATTGTTATTATAAATCCATTTCAAAATGTTTTCTGGGTTAGTATCAGGCCTTGCGATAAAGCGTCGGGCGATGTGAATTTTATGTCGTCCAAGAGCGATTTTGCGTG